TGGTGAAACCTTCTTACAAAAGATATTAACAGTGCTTTTATACCATCACTTTTTATCAATGATCATCCAAAATATCATTGGTTTAACCAACTAAAGATGCATAATGTGCCTGTATTTCTCATTCTTTATAGGTAAGAGATATAGCATAGCCTTCACAGACTATTTGGGATCTATAACCATGTGGAAGAACAACAATTCATTGGATAACCTGGAAGTGTTTTAACCTTTTTAATGCTCGGTGAGGACAATCATCCAAATACTAAAAATCATCTGACTGAGAAGTAGACTTCAGTGCAAGTCACTGCTACTTAGGTCTGCCGTTGGTCCATCACATAGTAGTCTCAAAACAATCTGCAGCACAACAGTATTCTGAAACAATTGCCTGCGGCCAGAAGAAAAACTCTCTTCAGGTCAAAGTCAATGTTAACCAACTTCTACATTTCATAACCTACCTTTTTGTTAAAGCTGCCTGTCAATTAATCTATTTATCAATTCATCTCGGACTTTAAAGCACAAAATAAAATAATGACATAAAATGAATGAACACTGGCTTAGTCCATCAATGTTTAAAAGAGGAAGGAACCAACATTTGACGTGCAAAATTTTCTTCAATACCAACACTGACTTTTTTGTATGTTTGAATGGATTACAAAAAATTTCAAACTGATAATTTTCCAATTCTTGTGGCTTTATTCCTCTTCAAAAGTATTCATACCACAAACAGCACCCCTGTTATGGCTCATCACAGAAAATGTTTTGAGTCATATATTAATGTTTGGGGAAAGTACTAATGTCCACATAATCCGCCATTCAGCAGGTCTGGCAGCGTCTGTGGAGCGAAATCAGAGTTAACGTTTCAGGTCCAGTGACCTTTCTTCAGAAGTGGAGTTCAGACTGCTGAGTTTTTCCAGCAATTTCTGATTTTGTTTCTGTCAAACCTCAAGTTCAGCATTGAAAGTTCCATTTCCAGAATAGGTTGCAAAATCATCAACATAGGATCTTATGGTGCAAGAGTCGGTTCTGCCCATAATAATTGTGCCAGCTCTTTGAGGGCTGTTCATTGAAATTAATATGCCTATTGTTTCCCTTTCTATTTAAAGTATACATAAACTTTTTTTGAACACCACTATTAAATCTGTTTATTCAATCCTTTTCAGGTAGTGCATTCCAGAACATAACAACTTATAGAATAAACACTTTCTTTTTGCTTCATTTTCCTCCAGATCCTTTCGCCAATTAGCTTCAATCTGCATTCTCAAGTCACTGATATAACTGTCAGTGGAAACATCTTCTCCTTTCCTACACCCACAAAGCCATGTTGCAGGATAATGGCTCTTTCAATCAAATTATTTCTTACAGTATGCCAGACAAACTTCTGAATGGACGAAATGCCATCAATTTTGGTCCTGTTTCTGTTCTTGTTTCTGATTTTCACAGTTCTTTAGTATTTTTTGAGTTTTAATGGTTTGTGAGACAGTTAATGCTGTATTGATAGGTTGTTGTCATGTGTTACGTTGGTAAATGCCCAGTCAGATTACCCTCAAATGGCAAGATATCTCAAACGTTTGAGAAACAAGTGAAGATGATTGTTTGTGCTGCTACTATGCAGTAGCAATGCAAGTGGTATTCATCAATAACTGTATGCTGTTGTCCAGTCAAAATGGTGTTCTGCCTATCACATAAATGAACAACATGGGATACAAACTTCACTGCCAGTCTGATGCCAATGTGCCAACCAATGTGCACTTGCAAAACTTAAAATGTGGTGGCCAATATCACATTATGCATTTTGATAACATTTGCTACATAATCCTGACTGTGTTAAGTATTATGCTGACAATCTAATTAAGATAATCAGTCAGGCTCACACTGTGGCACACTTGCTTATACTGGAAGCTACATATATTATACAGGGCCCTGTTCTTTGGAGACAGAAAGAATGTGTACAAACTGAACATGTTTCAACAAAATAACTGGCAGTCATTCACTGGTCCACTTCTCAGGGCAATGTCATGACTATTCAAGAGTCAACTTGGCTGGTTTATATTTAAAGAAAGCTTGGTAGTTAACTGTCAGTCAACATACAGTGAGAACAGAAAGATTTTTAAAGGGGCCTGAGGGGCAACTTTTTCACACAGAGGATAGCTTGTATGTGGAATGAACTCTCAGCAGAAGTGGGTACAGTTATAATATTTAAAAGACATTGGGAAACGTACATGGACAGGAAAGGTTTAGAGGGATATGGGCCAAACATAGGCAAGTGAGACTATTTGGGAAATTTGGTCAGCATAGAAGAGCTGGTCTGAAGCGTTTGTTTCAGTGCTGTATGACTCTGTAACTGTTGGATTCTCTATGTTAACACCTTTATTAATCAGAATACACTTGCTAAACAATCAGCATTCTCTTCTCACACTGGATAAAATGCTTTTTAACCTTTACAATGGTGTTTCTTGCAAATTGTTCAGATGGGTGCAAGACAAAAAGCTTTGATCAACATCTTTTTTTCAGCAGTGCTGAATACTTCATCTATTATGCCATATGTGGACATTTAAGCTTTTTTTAAAACCAAAAATTCCATGGGCTCTTCCCTTTCTATGGAAGAAAGGTATGCACTGCAATTCTAATTGACATTTAGAGTCATAGAGTTAGAGAGATATACAGCACAGAAACAGATCCTTTGATCCAACTTGTCCATGCCGACCAGATATCCTAAATAAATCTAGTCCCATTTGCCAACATTTGGCCCATTTCTTTAAGGGGCCCTACTCTCTCCCTATTTACCATTTTCTCCTTAGTGTCTTTATAGAATCCCTTTGGATTTTCTTTAACCCTATTTGCCAAAGCTATTTCATGTCCCCTTTTTGTCCTCCTGATTTCCCTCTTAAATATACTCCTACTATACTCTAAGGATTCAGTCGATCCTTGCTGTCTATACCTGACATATGCTTCCTTCTTATTTTTGATCAAAACCTCAATTTCTCTAGTCTTGCACCATTCCCTACACCTACCTATCTTGCCCTTCAGCTTAACAGGAACATACTATTTCTCTACTCTCACTATCTCATTTTTGAATGTTTCCCATTTTCCAGCCGTCCCTTTACCTGCGAAAATCCACTCCCGATCAACTTTTGAAAGTTCTTGCCTAATACTATCAAAATTGGCCTTCCTCCAATTTAGAACTTTAACTTTTAGGTCTGGTCTATCCTTTTCAAGCACTATTTTAAAACTGATAGAATTATGGTCACTGGCCCCAAAGTGCTCCCCCAGTGACTCATCAGTCACGTGCTCTGCCTTATTTCCCCAACAGTATGTCAAGTTTTGCACCTTCTCTAGTAGGAATATCCACATACTGAATCACAAAATTTTCTTGTGCACACTTAACAAATTCCTCTCCATCCAAGCCCTTGACACTATGGCAGTCCCAGTCTATGTTTGGAAAATTAAGACTCCCTACCATAACTACCCTATTCTCAGAGATAACTGAGACCTCCTTAAACATTTGTTTCTCAATTTCCAACTGACTATTGGGGGATCTATAGTACAATCCCAATAAGGTGATCATCCCTTTCTTATTTCTCAGTTCCACTCAAATAACTTCCCTGGATGTATTCCAAGGAATATCCTCCTTAAGCAGTAATGTTATACTTAATCAAAAAACGCCACACCCCCTCCTCTCTTGGCCCGCCCCCACTTTTCTATCCTTCCTATAGAATCTATACCCTGGAACATTAAGCTGCCAGTCCTGTCCATCCCTGATCCAAGTCTCTGTGACTGCTATAATATCCCAGTCCCATGTTCCTAACCGTGCCCTCAGTTCTTTTGCCTTCCCTATTAGGCCTCTTGCATCAAAATAAATGCAGTCTAATTTATCAGTTCTACCTCGTTCTCTGCTTTGTTCCTGCTTGCCCTGTCTGTTTAACTTATTCCTTTTCCCAACTGTATCAGTCTCAGACTGCTCTCTTTCCCCACCATCTCCCTGAGTCCACCACCCCCTTACTAGTTTAAATCCTCCAGAGTAGCACTAGCAAATCACCTCTCCAGTACATTAGTCCCCTTCCATTTCATGTCTATCCTTCTTATACAGGTCACTTCTACTCCAGAAGACATTCCAATGATCCAAAAAATGTGAATCCTTCTCCCCTGCACCAGCTCCTCAGCCACGCGTTCATCTGCTCTGTTCTCCTATTCCTACCCTCACTAGCTTGTGGCACTGGGAGTAATCCAGATAATACCATCCTTGAGGACTTCCTTTTTAAATTCCTGTTTACCTTCCTACATTCTCTCCTCAGAATCTTGTCCTTGTCTCTTCCTGTGTCGACATTTAGTGAACTGCTCGAAATTATACAGTAACATATCCACCTAGAGCACAGCTCCCTATGTTATTGGAAATAAATTGCTAGAGATTAGAGAAATATACACAAGTTGGACTGTTCCAGTCAATCCACCCTTCATAAACAAAATTGCTGAGTCAGTGGCGTATTACCAAACCTTGGAGTGATTGACCTTGCGAACAATTTCTTAGCAATGTTGTTATCAGCTTTATTGAGAAGATGCAGTTACTTACCATTTCAGATAAGGGAACTTCATGGCAATAATCCGCGGGGGCGAACATTATTGGCAAATTAAGCATTTCTCCTATTTTGAACTCCTTAGTAATAGCTGTTATTCTACATGCTTTATTCAAATAAAAGGATATAAAAATCTTCAGAAGTGAACTGGCTGTTTGAAGCTCAATCTCATCAGCCAGATGCATGTTTGACCACCAAACTTGAACGGTATTGCTGTGTAGTAACATGTTAGTTCCATGTTTAATTATTTAACTGGAGAAAACTGAGAGAGAATTTAGCTTTTCATCAATCCCTGTCTGCCATTCTGTATATCTGAGGAAGTTCAGCTAAAAGCAGTCACAATAATGAATGTTGCAGAGTGCCATAAAAACCACAGCAAATAAGATGTCATGAAGAAATTAGAACTTTAAGATTGTGAAAAGATAATCATAGATTGAGTTAAATTCATTTGTTTTAATTCGATTGCACATCAGTAATAAAAGGAATACAGAACACTGGCTATTTAACATCTGTAGAAAGAATCACCAGTGTTGCTAAATTTTCCATCACTTCATTTAGTGACACCCGCTGGCCAGCCTTTGTGCAGCGCCTACTCAGATGCACATCTCAATAGTGTTGTATCCTGAATGATGTGACATGGATTTTTGAAGAATTATCCTACAGCTGTCTTGAGTAAGGTGGGGGTTTAGTGTGAAAGGGTGCTGGGATTGGAGAATGATTGACAGCTACAACGCAAAGATTGCACGGTGGTTCAGTGGTTAGAACTGCTGTCTCACAGCTCCAAGGACCTGGGTTCGATACTACCCTCGAGCGACTGTCTGTGTGGAGTTTGCACATTCTCCCGTGGGTTTCGTCTGGGTGCTCGGGTTTCCTCTCGCAGTCCAGAGATGTACAGGTTAGGTGGATTAGCCAGGATTTTAGGGGAGGTGGGTCTGGGTGGAATGCCCTTCGAAGGGTTGGTGTGGACTATATAGGCCGAATAGTCTGTTTCGATACTGTAGGGATTCTGTGACTGACTCCACTCAGCATCGAATCAACAGCCTAATTCTAGCGTTGGAACACCCTTGCAACGCGGATTCGAGGGAAGGCTTTTTTTGAAGAATATTTGAAAACCAGGAACTGGCTTTTTGCCGCGCGGGGAACATCTGCGCAGTCTGCCCTTCAAAATTCGCTGTTGACATTGCAGTTCTCTTCAAGCTTGTCATTTCTTTGTGATAAACAGTAAGGCACAATTAGACTGATGGAAGCGAGCCAGAAACATTCGCTAATTCACTAAAATAATCCACTAACTTATGTCATTTGTTAAAAAAAAGCTTTAGATGAATGGGGAGATTTAAACGGTATCATCGCGGAATCATTGTAATTGTCACGTCAATTCAGGAATTCTGTTCACCCTGAAGACAGAAACTTTAAACATCTTCCCACACCCACTGTTCTGGGAACTGACCTTCTAGAATCAAATCAGCCAAGGATTTATTCCTAGATCTACAAATACCTTTATCAGCCGAGCAAAACCAAACAGCTAAAATTCGGGTGAAAATCCTTTTTAATTTTTAAAAACCATTGACAAATCTCCACTTTCTCCCGGTCTCCCCCGGAGCAGGTATAATTTACTTACCCGTATTCAAAACGGGCGTCTGTGTGAGACGGCGGCGACCGAAAGAGGGAGAAGGAGAGAGAAAGAACAGACACACACACACACACACATATACTGGCAATGGAAGGTTCCTCCGACCAATCCTCTTGTACAGAGCGCCTGTTAAAATGTGACAGTGATGTTTCCAGGAAGCGGAGTTTCTTGCAAACTGAGATAGCCAGTTTCAAGAGGAGGGGTTTCCTTTGTGACGCTCGCACGAACATAACCAGTAGAGACAACAAGGTGCAGGGCTGGATGAACACAGCAGGCCAAGCAGCATCATAGGAGCAGAGAGGCTGACGTTTCGGATCCCGGCGACTTAGAGACAAGCGACGAGGGTCAAGGAAGGTGGAGCTAAGGCGTGCGGGCTTCCTTTGATCTCAGGAACAATCAATCGGGAAGTGCTGGCTTATTACTGACAATCCTCCCGTTTGACTCGTCACTTAACACAGAGCCGCAACTCGCGCAGGGAAATTCAGCATCTGTGGAGAGAGAAACAGACGTAACGCAACCCCCCCCCCCAACCCTAAAGCAGAGGCCAAGCCCCGTGATTCTAGATTCTCTAGTTAGAAAAAGCCTCGCAACGTCCAAAGTCAAGAGCTGTCAATACGGATGAGACCGTTTCACATGCTCCTAGACGTCTAAAAATGGCCCATTCTACTCAATGTCTCCTCATAGGATAACATCTTTGTTATAGACATCCTAAGACAAGCATTTCCTTCCTTAGATGCTTGGACCAAAACTGCATATGGTACGCCAAATGTGGTCATAGTAAATTTTTGTACAATTGCCGTAAGACTTCCTGGTCCTTTAGCTGTAACTCCCTTGTTGGAAAGCCAACATACAGATTTCCTTATGCTGCAGTGGTATTGTCCCTATCTCTGAGCCAGAAGGCCCGAGTTCAAGCCCCACCTTCTCCAAGGTGTGTAATAACAACTCAGAAACCAGTTAATTGGAAAATATCTACAATTTTCTTCAGTGATTTACCATACCACCTTGGCAACTTACAGGACATCCAAAACTCTCATATAGCCAACATATGATTATTTCTCACAATTTACCTCAACATCCAATTTTATTTTCACTTACCAAAATGAACAGAACTCACATTTTGGAAGGAACACATTAATGATTGGATGTATTCAAAAAGCTGCTCTGCTATTGTCAAGTATTATTTCCCTGAACTCATCACATTTTTGGCTCTTAAAAATGTGACTCACCTTAAATCCAAGGTGAATTACTACCTCAAAACATATAAACAAAATAGTATATACAGCCAGATTACAATCACAAGTAGGAGTATGACAGAATATGCCCCACTTACTTTGGGGGAGTGCTGCTCCAACAACACTCAAGAAGCTTCACACCATCCAGGACATAGCAGCCCATTTGATTGGCACCACATCCATGAACATTCACTCTTCTTCATCAAAGCTCAATAGCAGCAGGTTACCAGCTACAAGACACACTGTAGAAGTTCATTAATGATCCTTAGACAACACTTTACAAACCCACAACCATTTCCATCTCGAAGGACAAGGGCAGCAGTTAATGGGAAAAGCAGCAACTGCAAGTTCTCCTCCAAGCCACCCACTACCCTGCCTTGGAAATATTGCTGTTCCTTCAGTGTCTCTGGGTCAAAATCCTCAAATTCCCTACATAATGGCATTTTAATGTACTATTAGCAAATTGACAAATCGGTTCAGGTAGGCAGCTTACCATCACTTTCAAGGGGCAACTAAGGATGGGCAATAAATGCTGGCCCAGCCAGTGACACCCAAGACCCATAAGTGAATAGATTTTTTTCTCCATATTATGTTGCATCTGCTACCTTCCCTTGTGCTGTGCCAACTAAACTATTTCGATGTCCTTGCAGAATACTTTTGTCCTCGTGACATACTTTCCTGTTGTCTGGTACTTGTGTGACACGAATGTTACTTTGTCACATGAGTCCAAGACGTAATGTTGTTCACACCTAAATATTGTTACATCCAAAGCAGTTTATGTCACCAGCTCACGATGTTAGCAACCTGTTGCTGTGTCCCATTCATGATCACTGAAATTACTGAAGCATACTTGAGCTTGTAGGGCCTATATAGCATGCATTATAGCATGGTTATACTCAGTATTTTTCACAACAGTCTTAGCCAAAAGGAGCTCACATGAAGAAATGTAGCTTTCACCCACATACAAGGGTCCTAATACTTACAGTCTGTAGCGTATGTTCAGCATGGAAGAGGTCCTGAATATTTCAGTTACAGGTTCCTATTAGCATATTAGCTCCACTTCTTGGCCAGGCAATGGCCAAATTGACACCTTAGACAGGAAGCAGCATAGAACTCTTAGTGACAGGAGGTTGCGGTCAGGGAGCTGTTGGAACACAGTCTCCAGCATTGGAAAGAGAGGCTATGATCAGGTAAACTTATAGATTGAGGCAGCAAGAAGTCAAAGGGTTACTTTGTGGCCCTGTTTGAAGCAGTTTTGCTCCTCCTGGCCTTCAAGAAAAGAAAATGGAACCATGTAACCTTGGGAAGTCTGCAGCACTCACTTCAGAGCAGCTACTCCAGGTTGGGCCAGCTTCCCACTTTGTGAAGTAGAAGGTTCAGAGCCAACAGCAGTTATGAATTAGTATACAGTTTAAAAACTGATTTGCACCTTATTGAATAACATATAACTTCTTTTAAAAATTAGTTTTCACAGCAAGACTAATGCATATGTCTAAAACAATTGGTAATTCAATTGATTTCCATAAATTGCAGTCTTTGGGAGTGCTTTTAAGATTGCACATTCTACAGAAGTGCATAATCGCTGATCGCTACTTCTGGGTTTTCACATGATTCTGAACAAATGTTGAATCTGAAACTTGCTGTCAATTTCCGTGAATGCTAACAATTTTGTTATTGCAACTATCAAATCCAGGCCAGTGAGTTATTGAATCTCTGACACATTCTGGAATTGGAGTGGTGAAAGGGTCAGGGCCAAAGGGGAAGTTTTGATGGCTGTTGGCCTGCAAGATCCTTTTGCTTAGGTTTCACTTATCAGGTGATTCTCTCCTTGCACTTCACATCAGGCAAACAAATAAAATGCATTATACAAAAGAAATACAAATTTGTACAATCGTTGTTATTGTTCCTGTTATATCTGAATATGCTTTAACACATCCACCTCTAAATATATTTTCTATGTTTCACTCTATACCTGGCATTTAAGGTACCATCTAGTTGTTTTTGTTATTCATTTGGGTGTTAATCAATGTTTGATTATTGGAAGGGTTAGCATGACAATACTTTACAATTGAGCGACACCAGCTTACTTGCCAAGAGCACTGAACCCTTTCTCTTTGACTCATGCAAGCAACATTTGAAAAAACATCTGGTGACCTCAACGGCATATTTGTCTGGGTTTGATTTTAACCTTCTCTGTGTAACTGGGTTCTGACTGATAGGATGAAGATTTTCTTTTTGTTTCAACAGCTATTAATAACCTTAAATTACAGAAGGTTCAGCAGCATTCACCTATTGGCCATTAAGGTAAGAACATAAAGTGGCTCATTGTTGGGAGCTAAGTGGGTCATTTCACAGAGAATACTAAAGTGGGCGATGGAAGTGTCTATCAAATGCAAAGAGACTACACTTTTCAGATCAGAGTTAGTTCATATTGTTGGTCAGCATAAAGGGCTACTTATTGTACAAAAACTGGTAAAGTGTGTGTGATCAATGAACCATCTTCTACTCTCATGCAAGATCTTTTGCTTTGCTGACTACAAAAACTGACCTTAAGTTTAATACTGTATAAAAAATACATCACGTAAAATAAATTTTAAAGTTGACTTTTAATAAAACCCATGGACGAACAGATGTCAAACTAGAGCGAGTTCTTTTCATGCATTTTATTTAGTTAACTTCTTTTATTCAATCTTTCAGATTTTACGCCATCACAAACACTGGATTCAACAGAATCAAATGAAAAGCATGAAGTACACACCATTAGTCACTTTTCATCAAAGTGCACTTTAGTACAAAGATTTTTTTAAACACTTTCATGCAGACACTACTGAACACCTATATATTGAATTAGAACACCAATGTGATTAAAATCCTCAAGTTCAATTCATCACCATAAATGGTAGGGATTTCTCCATGAATCAAGTTTTTCTTCCTACTACAAATTGACAAGTAATCCATTATACCAAAAGAGGGAACACAGAATCATCACAAGACTAATCAGCAATTGTTTGAGAAATGTTAAAAGCTGTAACATATTGCAATATAAATAAACTGCATGTAACATTTATTTTTATATTTAAAAAATAAGCAAAGGGCTGCATAAAGTTGTATTATTTTGTCTGATGTATTTCCCTCTAAAAAAACACAGCCAATTTTTGGTTAAAATTCAGATCTAAGTGTCAACTTTAGCAAGTTTCATGGAAGATTCTCTCCTTGAGCATTTGAGTTGTCTCACATGATTTTCCACAATTCATCTCGTTAGCTATGCACCACACCTCTGTGGCGCCCTGTTTACACCATCCTTTGCTCATTGATGGTGGAGGTGTCTGCCGGTTAAGGTCCAAGCTACTCAGGCTATGCCTTCTTAGAAGCCCAAGGCAGTGTTGTCCAGTCTGGCTTGTTGCGCTTCTTCCTCCTGCTCAATGTCTTCATCTTCCTCTGAAGAAGATTGCTATCACTCTCCCAGCTCTTTGGGAATATGCATCAAGGTCCAGATGAGCAAGTAGTGAGCTGCAAGTTACCAGGTGCCCATTCTTCCATGGCAGACATTGTCACTATCTAGTTTATCCATGGCATGTGGGAAGAATATGGAAATATATATCAATGATGTGAGATTAAGTACTAATGGTATGCAAATACATGCATCTTGGTGCTCACTAGTGATATTCTCATCTCACCATTCAATGCTTAGTTGCAGAATTAGACTGAGTTGAGAATCTCATTTCTGCAGCTCTCATATTTTCCTAACTGGCTCACCATTGCCCATGTTGTTCAGTGGCTGGGAAGATTTCACCCACAACTTCTATATATTTTTTGAAAAGTAATTTTATAAACTCTAAGTACTTAATGCCCCAAATATATTTTTTGGATACAATATACACAAAAGTATAATCATTAATTGCATTTCTTTAGGATATCTTCATCTCTGCAGAAATAATTCACTTTAATCCTGCAGGTTTTCAATCTTTATTTAATACTGGAACAGAAAAAAAAAAGCCAAATTGGATTTGGTAGCACTTAATTCTGTACACCTTGTACCTTTAGTAACTAATTCCAACCACAAAAGTGAAAACAACATATACAACTGAAAATTAACTGGCTTGGATTTTGCAGTCATGTTAACAGTTGGAAAAAAAACCTCAGTATTGACAGTTATTACTCAGAAACCAAATTTTGATGTCTGCACATGCTGCTAAAATGCAGAAATCCATAAGTTACAGTCAGTTTCATTC